GGGACACTGAGAAACCAAGAGGCCAAAGGGACGTGGAGGATCCCAAAAGGGAGAACCCTAAAGGGATGTGGGGGACCCCAAAGGGATGTGGGAGGTCCTAAAGCAATGTGAAGACCCCAAAAGGATGGGGAGAAACCCCAGAAAAGGGACACTGAGAAAGCAAGAGCCCAAAGGGACGTGGAGGACCCTAAAACGGAGAACCCTAAAGTGATGTGAGGGACCCTAAAGGGATGTGGAAGGTCCTAAAGCAATGTGAAGACCCCAAAAGGATGAGGAGAAACCCCAGAAAAGGGACACTGAGAAAGCAAGAGGCCAAAGGGACGTGGAGGATCCCAAAAGGAACGTGGAGAATCTCAACAGGGAGGACCCTAAAGGGATGTGGGGGACCCCAAAGGGATTTAGGGGATCCTAAAGCAACGTGAAGACCCCAAAAGGATGCGTAGAGCGCCAGGAGAGCCAGAGAACCTCCTGTGGTCCAACAAGGAGCCACAGAGCACTCACTAATTCTTATATTTGACGAAGAACTCCTCTGATTCTGTCAACTGCCCCGACGGGAGCTGCCAAAAAGGAACAAAAAAGGAGATGTTAACAGCTGCCAAAAGCCCCTTCCCCAATTTATGGGGTCGTAAATTGTTTCCCTCACCTCCTTTTTAACCACCCTCATGGACAGGACTTTGTCCACGATGGCCGCGTCCTCCTCGCTGGGATTCTCCTGGAAAAGAAGAAGGAAATTGAGATAAAACAGAGGAAAAATAAGCAACCCTGAGGGTGACGAAGGTGAAGGATGAAGAGGAAGATCCCCCTACCACAAAAAATTGCATGGAGGGCAACGTCTCGCCCTCTGGCTCCGGTTCTGGGGCGGGGGGTTGTGGGGCAGGGGGCTGCTCTGCACGCACGGGCCCCGTAACGTCCAGCTCTTCATCTTCCTCATCATCAGTGATCTTGATGTCTAAATCCTCGGTGTATTTCTTGCGTTTGACTTGGCGGTTCGAGCGTCGCTTCTGAGGGAGGAAGGAAGGAAAAGGGATTTGGGGTTTTTGGTGGGTGAGAAGAGGGGATGGCGAGGGTAGAAGAAGTTGGGGAGGTTGGGGAGGGTTGGGGAGGATGAGGGCAAAAAGCGGGGAGAACGAGGGTAAAAGTTGGGGAGAATGAAGGCAAAAGTCGGGGAGAACGAGGGTAAAAGTTGGGGAGAATGAAGGCAAAAGTCGGGGAGAATGAGGGCAAAAATTAGGGAGCATGAGGGGTAAAAGTTGGGGAGAATGGGAGGGTCAAAGATTGGGGTGAACAAGGCCAAAATTTGGGGT